ATCTAGCTCGAATTGGTTTCTAATTGATGGATTTTTTAATTTTTCCAAATTAAAATTCTCAAAATCGAAACGGTTTTCTTTTCTCTTTTTTATATTAAGTTTTTGTCGAAGTTTCGCGATTACTAATTCATGATCCGACCCACATTCTGCTCCGCGATAAGACCGTACATTAATTATACTGCTTTGCCAGCTGTGTTGTATCAAGACATGATCGATTTGATTTCGTGTTTGCGAATCCGGTGATGTCCAAGTATATTTATGAATATCCTTATGTTTAAACGTCGTACTTTTAATTATCAGGTTTTTCGAGATGGCAAAGTTTATCAGACGGATCCCATTATCATTACTATATTCGTGCAAACTTTCTTTACCAATCGTCGGAATATAAACTTCTTCCCTTCCTACCTTTGCGTTCGCGTCACCTACAATTATTTTCATGTAGTTTCGTGGTAGTTTATCATAAACCCATTCGAGTTTATCATAAAATTCACTTTTGACTTCATCGTCACTGTCTTCGGTCGGACAATGTATGTTTATTAATGCGATTTTAAACCAATGTCCCTGAAATATAGCTACCGAAATTCTATCACTAAAGAATTGTACGTCCCTCAAAGCGGATAGTAATCTACGCCTAATTAGAAACCCGGTACCTAAACAATGATTCCCGCTTCCTCCGTACCAAATAGTGTACTTCCCTTCCCTCATCGAGCCCTCCCCTGGCCAGCGAACCTCTTGCAGAGCCACGACATCCAAATTGTACCCATTTATTATTATTATTATACTTATTATTATTAGGTATTATTATTAAGTATTATTTATACTTTTGATTTTTTAATAACAAGGGGTAACAGGTTGGGGTACTAGCGGATCCAGGATTTAATTTTTTTTTGGGGTGGGGAGATTAAATCTTCAGCCCGAAAGCTTTTTTTCATAAAAATAACGATAATTACTTTGGAAAAAAAGAAAGAAACTAATTACCAATATGAAATTTTGTTTAAGTGATTCCTAAAATTCTTTTAAATGTAATTACACGAACAATAATACTTTAAGAGATATTTTTTAAACATTTTTTTCCATAAAACCTGGTTATATTTTACCATTTTGGGGAAGAGGGGGATTCAGCCTCAAAGCCTCCCTCCTTCCCCGGAGATCCGCCCGTGGGTTGGGGCAATATCTTAAAACACATTTTATAAGTTTGAACCTTTATAAATAAATATAAATGGTGTTGAATAGTTTTCAGTTGATTTCAGTCGATTCGGCTACTGGTAAATAATTGTTTACAATAGTTCAAAGCATTGAAATCATTCCATATACAGTGGACTAGCTAATCCGGACGAGACCATAATTCGAACCACCACTTGAAAAAAAATTTTTATTTTTTTTTATTGAAAAATATTACAATCTGTCTCAAGGACATTTATAATAGTGTTCACAGATCACATTCAAACTCTATGTACAGTAAATAAAATAAATTATACAGAAAAATAACATATATACAATAAATAAGAATAAAATAACCTAAAAAGAAATAAATAAAAAGAACACATACATACCTATATACAATATTTACAATTTGGTGAGGGAACTCCAAACCAGACTTGGCTCTCTGAGTGTGGAGGAAAAAGCATGGCTCCAGGAGATCCCAGCACTTCTCTCTCAACCGCGTCACTGGGGCTAAATCCAGTGGAGATTGAGCAAGAGTCACATACACTCATGTCGTGAGTGGAGAATCTGGCCATTGCCAGAACTCCAATATTTACAAACTATAAAAGGTCACGGGGCCACTGCCGTTTTAACCTCCTTGGAGGATTATATGGATGGGTGGTGCTGGATAGAGATTGTGCAAAGGGATTTGGATGATGGGTAAGGTTCTGGTGGAATTTGGAGAATTTTGATGGGATAAGGTCTAGGACAAATGGGATATTAAGGTCATGGTGTAGGGTTTTGTTGGTTACATAGAAAGGAGCATCGACTATTGTTCGAAGGACTTTGGATTGAAAGGATTGGATGCGTTTGATGTTAGAAAATTTTGCTGTTCCCCACAGTTCAAGTCCGTAAGTCCAGATAGGTTTCAATATTGTCTTGGATCGATCAGTTGGAGCAGTAACTTGTTTTCAATGGAAAGTTTAGATTTCCTGTTTAGTAGCCAGTATAGTTGGCCATATCGTCGGTTTAGTTCCTGTCTTTTAAGTCTAGTATGAGGGTTCCACGTTAGTCGTCTGTCTAAGAGAAAGCCAAGGTACCGGACTGTGTCTGAGAAAGGAAGCTGGATGGAATTAAAGTGTACTGGTGGAGCATGCGTCGGAGCATGAAGGTGATGTGTTGGCATTTGGATTAGTTTACTTTAATACGCCATTTATTACACCAGTGCTCAATCAGGGAGAGGTGTCTTTGAAGGTTTGAGGATGCTATATCAGGATCTGAGTTTTTTATAACCTCATACTTTACAAGGCTACAGCACCTATACCTCCACTGCCTTTAAGTACAAGCGATGTAATTTAAGTTTGGTTCAACGATTTTTATTTGAGGTAGTTATTTTTCATAAGTATGACTTAGTTTAGGACGATTATTTAATTTTAACTATAACATTGATAAAAATAATAATACTTTTAGTTTATTTAATTTTTGTCAGTAAATATGATGTGACTGGTTATATTATATATAGTCCGAGGCCTTGCAGATTGACAAATCACTTCGACCCCTCCGACTAATTTTTGGTGTGAATGATAACTTTGGCCATTGTAATACTTTCAATGATGGTCCGCAGCAGACAATAGTTTTTCTATTAGCGCATAGTCCCCTCACTAGGCTGTTACGAGGTGATCAATAAAGGTTCGAACGACCTCCGACCATTTATCATCAGATCAAGTAGTTTCGTGTCTACCCAAGGCCGAGGCATGTGTGAGGTGTATAGGAAATGCGCTCATTGTTTACACGTTGCTGCCTACGTGTCTTTGGGAGTAGAGTCTGGGTTTGTTAGGCCATGATTTATTGCTGCATTAATTATTAAGACGTAAAAGCTAATTGTACGCCTACGAGGGGATAATTGATTTCAAAGGTGTCAAGAGTTAATACTAATGCACATACATAATAATTCCGATCGCCAAAAAACAATCTGTGTGTCCACTCACACACAAATCTCCTAGCGACTTAAGACTTTTAAATATATCAATTAAAAAAAAAATGAATTACAATAATGTTTCTGAAAACCTGTCAGAGAACTGATAATAGTACGATTTTTTTAATGAACTAAAGCAATGTAAAGGAGGTAGAAAAAAAGTTACAAGGAGTGGTAAAATTAGATTTCCGAATAACTCGATAACTATAAACTTTTTTGTAGTGTATCGTTCCTTAAAAGTTTACGAAATTTTCTAAAAAAAAAAAAATTAAAAGTTTTTTATTTATTTTTTCTACATGTTTGCCAGGCGTTCTAGTGCAAAGCTGAAATCCTTTTTATTAGTTCTTGATTTTCGGAAAAAGTGTTTTTCGGGCTCTGATACGTAAACATCACTTGAAAACCGCACATCGGAAATTTAACCCGATTGAAATATTTTCCTCATCTATGAGCTTTCATGTAATGAAAGCAATAAATTAATACTAATTGTTTAAGATAATAAATTAACCTCATTGAATAACCACAGATATTTACCATCCACCTTCCAATTCTTGTTAATTAGATAAAATTTCAATAACACTAGCTATTAACATATTTCAAGGATTTGCTCTGAAAAATGTTAATAAATATACTTATAATAGAAATAAAGAAATAATAATAAAATAAATAAAAAATTAAAACATATTTTATAATACAATTAATTGAACTATGGAGGTTGGATCTTCCTATCTAGAAAAATAATGTGTAATCATAGTTTAAAGTTGAGTTTACATCTGAAATAATATTTCAATAACCCAAAGTATTAACATGTCAGTGATATTTCTTGTAAATTTGAATAAATGAATAGAAAAAAATATTAAAAGAGATTCCTTTGACTTCTGAAATCCTCCGAATTGTTAACAAGATGTGGAGAGTGGAAGCCACTCCCGAAACAATTTTAACCGTTTAACTTGTTGATTCCGTGGAAGAACATGCGTCGTCCAGATCGGTATGATTTATTTGTAAAGGCGAGCGGGGCGTTTAAACAGAACTAAACATCGGACTGGACTCCTGTGAGCTCCCTAACACACTGTTTACGACGGGTCGTTAACTTCACAACAGTTGGCCGAAATGAAAGGGATAGGATTCGAAATAACCCGGGCATAAATGGCGTGATGGCCAATAAAGCCAAACTAAAAGACACTATTTGAGACTTTGACAAAGCATAAAGTAGGCTATCGAGGAAGGAAAGCATCTGTAAATACACTTGGGCTCTGGAGTGCACGCGCTCTCAAATGTCTCATGAATAAGGTTCCATTATCGTATCATTTGCATAGGCCTTGTTATTGAGATACGTAATTCATCAGATTCTGCTTCAACTTCCTTTCCGAGAAACAAGGCAGAGTTTGATTGGCCTTGTAAGAGTATTCTGAGAGAAACTATATTATAAACGTGCAGTGAAATGCCCAAATCAATGTTTGTGTTCCGAGCAACATGAACATTTGAGGGGCAGGGGGACAAGGTTAGTCTAACATGATAACAGTGTTCAATATCAAGGAAAAGAGAAGGAGTCGATAGGACGCCATACATACAGGATCTATTTACTACATGTCTTACAATATAATGCATTATTTCTCAAAGGTATATGTTTTGTTGGTACACTACACCTTCTTTATTTCTTTATTCATTCATGATTGAACCATCATTTGGGGAATATTCATTCCCCTTATCCCAGTCCCGTCCCGTACTTTGATTAAGCTAAAATAGCGAAAAATTTAGAAATCTAATTTTTAAAAAATTATTACTAGAAAATCAATATTTTAGATAAAATAATAACGAAAATATACACATTATGTGACTGATAGTTAAAAGAAATATAAATATATAATAATAATTTTTTTTTCAGGTTGTTTTCTGCCTCGCCTTGCTGGTGTGTCTTGCGGCATCTTCTCCAGTCGATACTGAGATTGGAGGACTAGACGACTCCATTGGAGGCCACAGAGACTTATATGGACGCGGTGGGGGATCCTCGTATGGGAAGTATATGTTGTACAAAATCACAGGAGCATTGAGCAATCCATTTTGAATCAATCATTCCCTCATCTGTCCATTTGGAATGATTCTTTCCAATGCTATTAATAACCTTATGTATTTATTTGTAACAAATAATGTAGGTTAATAATAAAAATATAAATTTATAACTTTTATTTATCTTCCGTACCCAAATATTTGTCATTTTTTTTAATAGAAGAATAGCAATATAAGACAATTAATTCGTTGGGCAGACCCCTTTTTATAAAAAAAAAAAACCTTCCTAAATAGCTTTATCCTAATCTACAAATATTTTATTTACGAAAATTCTCAGAATTGGGGCGTTTTCAATCTGTAGATCTGCGACCTTTGTCTATTTAATTAACTACTAAAAACTCATGAATACCCATTTTATTTCCACTTGAATCGTAAGATGATATGATCAAATAATCGAACAAAAGTGGCATACAAAAATATTGGGATGTTTGGCCTATAAAGGATGTTTCAAGGACCTTAAAACAAGAAATAAAATTCTATTAAACCATACGAAACACAATATATATTTCAGTCAGTTTAACAAAAAATAATAATAATAACAATAAACCATAATTATAATAAAAGCCAATTGAATTGAATAATTAGGCAAATATGGAAACCATTCTGTGGAAGTTTTTATTTCCGAAAATTATTTAAATATATTATATTGATTATTATTGAAAAAATAAAATAAAACGTTACTCGAACTGGCGTTAATGGAAGAAAAATGTAGGATTAATTAGTTGAAAATTTTAATTTCAAATATGAGAATCCAGCTAACAAACTTCAACTCACCTCTAATTATTCCTTAGTTAAGCAGGCCGACTAATTTAAAGGATAAGGGGAAACAATAATACCACTCGACGTGAAGATACATTTCCCTTAAATCGGGGGGAATGGGAAAGCGACCGCAGCCGAAATTGTAAACTGTTCTCAGCGTTAATTTGAGAAATGGGGAACCGCGGTATGAGGCTTAGGGCTTCAACTGGGAAGACAAGCGGCTTCGGCAACCACAACCGAGCTTAAACTATACACACACAATGAGTTCTGAATCAAAAGCTTTACAGTTTCTGGTGTCGGCAACTTCTTGATGTCAACGGGTGGCAACTCTACTTCACGACTTTGGTAAGCCTTCGATGCTCTACGAGCGGATAGGTCATCATTCGTCAAGAATATAGACAATGCTTGATATAATAAGGACTGTCTAATGAAGAGGAAAAAAAAAAAATAATAATATTTTTTTTAGTAATTCGCCGATATAAAATTTAATAATCAGCAGCTTAATTGAATCAGTTATAACTGATTGGCTATAGATACCATTAGGAATTGTAATTGTACTTGCATTGTATTGTAATTTGAATTGTATAGGGACAAGTGAGCTTTTTAACACTTTGAAAATTACGCAAAACATTTCTATTACAATTTTAATATTCAAAATTTTACAATAAATAAATAGGGAAAACGATGAATCTTTGAACTATTGACGTAACTCGTTTTCCTGCATTAAAAGATGTATCATAAAATAAATAATCAAAAAAGTTTCCAACACAAAACTGGTAAAAATATCGAATGTATATGATTCCGAAAATAAACTCCTTAGCGCGGGTGACCAGAAGTAGGTTTAGAGATGAAAGTTGCGCCTTTAAAATTTTTTAGGGGAGCACATTTTGAGAGGATTTTGAATTTTTGAGGGAAACACTCTACAGCGACTAGATGAGAAAGTCTGGATGTGAAGAAGAAAAACTTTATTTCGCACTTATGTCAAAATGATTACATCAATACTACTACTATTTGATCAAATGACATAATCGCCTGGCGTGAGCCAAGACGAAAGCTGAACATAAGTCAAGATGGGTCAGTAACATTGGCATTGAAACAGGTTGTAAATATTGCTATGTTATGCCGGGTCGGCTTCCTTGTGACATTGACATCGGAGTTTGTAGATAATATTATATGACATAAACCGGTACGTTGTTTGTTCCTCAAGACAACTTAAAAAACGAAGTTCAAATGAACTGAGGGTAACTTTTTCATTCATAATTTTACTAATTTGAAGATTAATAATTTGATTCCTTACTTCTACGATTAGGTCATGAGTTTTCGGAATGAAAAGTATCAAATAAGGTGATAAGAACAAAAAAAGAAGCAGACCACAGGAAGTGATATTGTATATTATCTAAGGCTTTTTAAGATTCACTTTCGCTTGTATAGTGTTTTTAAGAAAATGAGAGCAATAAAATATAAATAAAATAGGAGGCGCCTTCGACCTTGGGGGATGGGCACTCATGCTTCTTTGATTATTTTCATAATAATTTTACTCTTTATAGCCCATAAGCCTTTACATTGAATGGAAATAACAACAAAATGAACAGGGCTAAGCGAAGCCGAAAGTTGCTATATGATCATTTGTTATATATAAATATCCATTCACCGACCGTCGCAAAGGTAGAAAACCTTAAAGGTCAGATTTCTAAAATCCAGAATCATACTTTTATTGGCAGTTCATAGGTTTTAGAATAAAGTCATTTATTCATTCATTATTAACGTACTCAACTATATTTTTTTCTGCATCGTTTAGAAGAGTGAAAATAGAGGTTTAGAAGAGTAAGGATCCACTTTTCTTTTTTTTTTATCATCTGTGATCCTTTTTTGGTTTTCTTTCTCTATTTTCCCATTAATTTTAATATAGAGTGCTACCAATGGGTAGTTTCTCAACATGTGTTTCAGGTCATTATATCCATGTGCGAATTTACCAGATGTATTTTTTGTATACAGTTGTAAATATCATATAAATAAATTTAAAAAAAAATTTAATTATGGATTCCAAAAAACAACATTTTCCCACTTCAATTAGGTTGCATAATGTTGGGTCGGTGCTCTCTTCTTTCTCCGTGCACATATATTTGGTTTTGCTGCAATTTATTTGTAAGTCTACTTGCTCATAATGATCAATTATTTTTCTGAATAGGTATTTTTACAAAAATTAATCGATTATTAGATACGAGGGCTCTAACCACAATACAAGAGAATAAAAGCCATGACAGAGCTCACTCCTGAAATGGAGCACCATGTTGCAACTGATGCCTTGAGGCTAAATCGTCTGGTGCTGCCTCAGGCGAGAATCGAATATCAGGTGGGTGGAACCCACTCCTTGCCGATATTTAAAATGTTAACAATATGCCGTGATGCGATAAAATGTAATCAAAGACATATCTGACCTATATGCTAAACCATAAATGTTTTTAACATATAATTTTAAATAACATCTATTTATAACATATAATTTATTTATAGCATGAGAAGATATAAAAAATTACGACATACACATTTAAATAACAAAATTTATATTTCCTATTAATATATAAACTTATTAAATATACAAGGATTATATATTTCTGAAATATATCAGAGTGAAGTTTAAACAGTAAGCATTTAGCCTTACATGGAAAATTCTTCAGTTAAGACACTTAATTCAAGTGATTGAATTCCCTTAACAATAATACACTAAGTGGTGCCATTTCCCCTACAATATTGGAATACACAGATGATATAGCGTCATCAGTAGCCATCAAGGGAACATTGGTAAATTTCTTAAGACTTTGATAAGAGAAGCGAATCCAATAACTTAAAAAATAAATTAAGATTGAAGAATTAATTGTGGATTGATGATTGAAGGTAGTGAAATTAATAACATAACCTAGAACCGCCGTCTTGCCATCTTCACTAGTGTTGCCCAAAATCGGCACCTTGCAAGACAAAGACCAAGGCCGTCTAACTGTTGCAAGACCAAGACCAAGGCCGTCTAACTGTTGCAAGACCAACACCAAGGCCGTCTAACTGTTGCAAGACCAACACCAAGGCCGCCTAACTGTTGCAAGACCAAGACCAGGACTGGTAAAAAATATCGAAATTTTGAATAAAAATTAAGGCAATATAAGTAAGTAATACTTGACAATTTTAATTACAATATGTAAAGAATAGGAATAACCAATATACTTTTGCATTTGTCTTTTCTAATTTTTCATTCGGGCATAGTTAGGTTTCTCCTATCTAAAAAATTACAGTAATATCTCTATAGTAATAAGCTAATAGGTAACTGCAAGATAGTTGCGCAAGACCAAGACTCGTCTTGTTCTCGCATTTGGGCAACACTATAGGTAGAACAAACTAAAAGTAAAATAAAGTAGGTAGAATAAACTTAAAGGAAATATGAAATAACGATAACACAGTTCGGGATCGAAAGTAGCGGAAGCAAAGTTAGGATATATAATATAATTTCATTTACATACTTTATTTTACTTGAAGTTAATTCTATCTACAGTTACGCGGTCTTGGTCTTGGTCTTGCAAAGTACAAGACCAAGAACGTTTTTGGGCATTACTATCTACCTACTTTTTTTAGACTATACCTTTCACCTACATATTATTTTCTTTTTAATCTTAATAGTTTCTCATACGCAATGTCATCCGTTCTTTTTTTTTTTGCTCTGATGAATGCCTAAACTTTGGGCCGAAACGTCGGCAAAAATAAATATAATTTATTTATTTTAACATTTTTTTATACTGAAAACTCCAACCAATCTTCTCTTCAACAATGGTCTATAATTTTATTTTTCTTCTTCTCTTAAATATTGTTGGGAAAACACATTTAAGTATCGATTGAGCATAGTAAGTAAAGGAGGTAACGGAACTATTTTATTTTACAATAACATTATTGAGTTATAGAAGTGTCTGTTATAAAATTGTCTGAAAGGAATCCTTTTTCATCGAGTTTCATAAAAGTATAATTTTTTGACGGAACGTTCAAATCGAGATAGAAGAAAGATTATTCTTAACCACTCATAGATTCTGCCCACAATCCGAGATAGACGAATTGCCTCTACACAACAACGAAAATGAGAGCGTGTGGATTAAAACACATGTGAATAGATTCAACAGATCTCTTCAGTCAAATAGAGGCGGAGAAACATGGTTCAGGCATGTAAAGAAATGCATCTCAGTAATGCCAACTGAACCAAAAAAATAGTATACTGTTTGTTATCTTATTCTTATGCTGTTTTTCTCATTACAATTTGGTAAACCGTATAGAAAAACAAAAAATTACAATCTAGATATCAGATTTCAGCAGACATGAATAAACTTTTTAGTGATTTCTTCATATTGACAAGACA